TTACTAGTAGTAAGAATGCTCCTAGTAGCGATGCCAGGAGCCCCTAGTAGCTTCTTGTTACTTACAGTAGTAGTAATGGCCTCCAACCTAATAGCGATGGCCTCCACCGGACCTAGTAGCTTCTTGTACCCAAGAGTGTACCCCCTTTTTCTGGCCCTGTGAGTACTGTAATCTATTCCAGTCGACTTCAGGAGGGTCTGGGTGTCGTCCCTACTGTTGAAGAAGGAGGGAATCAATTGGATGGCATTTAGAATATCGAATTTAGAAGCTTCCTTCCAAATCGTTTCACTGGGAATCGTTTCACCTGTAACATCCTGTAACAATAAAGCTTTCTAGTAACTAAAATAGGGTCTGGTAAAGGAATTCTGTGGATTCTAGGGCCTAGGGGCCCCTAGGGGTCTGTTTCAGGGACAACCTCCGGCAACACCTAGGTCTCGCCGTTCCTGGTCCTCCCACGTTGCATGGGGAGGACGGCTCCAAGAACGGTTGTCCCCTTCGCCCAGTCCCGTTCGCCCAGTCCAAGAGGAAGGCGAAACGTGCCTCTTCCGACGTCTGCAGCCTTCCAACGGCGACCGGTTCCCCCACCGTCGCTTTCACGTCACTTATGCCCAGGCGGCGCAGCAAGGTGTCGCTCTCTTGTAAGCTGTTCCAGTAGGCGGACTCCTGCAGCATCGCAGCAGACACCGACCGGGCCGACCGGCTTTTCGGAGCTCCTGAGGATGCTCCGTTTTGGGGGGCGTAAAAACCTGGGAGCGATCGTTTTGGAGCCAAAAGCGCTCGGATTCCCAGGGAGCCACTGAACGGGTGAACGGGGATGAGCTATTCTAGCTATTCACCCCAAACATGGGGTCCTGGTTGAAAAATTATACCAGCATAGACCCCAAACAGTTTCAAAACGATTCGTTTGGACCAAATATACATTATAGTCAAACTGTTTTGGGGGAACAAAAACATGGGTCAAGAGCCGGTTGCGAAGACACAGACGGCCCGACGGCCTTCCAAGCTCGTGCGATGGGGTCTTGGGTCTCGGGTTTCTCATCGTCCTCGGGTCTCGGGTCCGCCCAGTGCGACGCACTGGGGTTGGGAATGTTTGGGGGGGAAATGAATGAAGCGAACGAATGCATACCAGGTAACCCGACTCTGCGGGTTTCCTCTGGCTTTTGGTCACTTAAAAGTGTCAGGTGGTGACCTGTTGGAGGGTGCTGGTATAGAATATCCTTTGGATCAAGCATGATCAAGCCACCCGGTTTCCTTGTGATTCACCTGTCAGACAATTCACTAAACTTGGAGATGCTTGGAAGTGTCAAATCACGTGTGCACACGAGTCTGTGCGAGTTTTTGAACGAATTTGTTGAACCCGCTTGAACATTTTTGAACACCAAAGTCTGGTGCTCTGAGATCCTCGACTCCAAGTGACTCCACGACACAGCACATCACCCTGCGTCACACCTCCAGCAACGCCCCAATTCTCAGGTTTCTCCACCGAAAGCGTCTAAGCGTGCGCTGCGCTTTTCGGACTCTGCTGCAAGCTCAGCGCATGCTTCTGATCAGCGTCGGGTGGGCGAGTTGGCGGTCAAAGGGCGCCATTAGGTGGGACTGTCATCCAGCTTGGCCATGGAACTGTAGTCTTCTTCGTCCAAAATGGCACACGTCTTCAGAGGCACAGTAAAGAACGCGAAGGTGCCCCTCTTCAGACGATTCAATCAGGATCATGGAAGTTTATGATCCACAGTACTCATTCTCAAGACCAGCTGCTCAAGTTCATTTCAGCTGCTCAAGCCAGATTCTTCCCTTTTTACCTATCAGACTCTACATCATCCTGCTGGGTTCTAGTCCAGCCAGAGCGAGGCGTCAGCCTGTGCGAGACCATGAAAAAGCCTAAAAATCCCAAAACGTCTACGTGTGGTTTTAGGGCTTAACGCCAATTGGACACCTGCTGAAGGGTTCTGGTGGGAAATGACTAAACAAGAGCTCCTTTTTCTCCCTACTTTAGAGTAATGGTCAATGCAGTCAAGTATTAGTCAATGCCGGGTGCATTTTGGGAGAAGCAAGCATCTCTCAGACCCCAATGGGATTTTGACACACACCCATTTCTATGGTATAGTGACTCAGTGACTCAAAACCTTGTGGTCCCACAAACCCAAAAGAAGTTCTCTGGAGATAAGCTGTGGAATCCGCTCTAGGCAACCAGACATCGTGGGTGTGACACATGAACAAATCTGCACAAGTCCTGTTGAAACCAAACAAGCTCAGCCTCCCATAGCAGCCCCATAGCATCCCCATGGTGATCTTGAATCTGTCTCTCCAAGCACTGCTGAAGCACTGCGCTTCAGCACAACACTGCCCAACCGCCCTTGGGGCGTCTGGACGATCAAAACGAGGCAGCTGGAGATGAAGACCCGTTTGGCAGAGAACAAATAGCATGGACTCATTGGAGACATACAGCCTCAAAGGCGTACCCTATAGGTATTTTGAAATGGGGAGACCCACCGGGTCTCCCAACAAGTCTCAAGCGGAGTTTGGACGTTATGATATGTTACAAGAATATAGCATTCTCGGGTGGGGGCAGTGTTTGACTATGAGTGTCTCACCCTGCTTTTGCAAGACACCTCATAGCTCCCATGGCTACCCTCCCATGGCTCCCATGGCTACCCGAACACACGTCGAAGCAAGTCGCTTGAAGTCGGGGCGCTTTTCGCCCGAGCAGTGGACGGCAGCGGACAACGGAGCGAGCGAGCGACGCTAAGACGGGGAGACCGAAGCTCCGGCCATGAAACCGGATGAAAAACCAATGAGTCTCAAAGTCCCTGGAAAAACATGGGTGCCAAGTACCTGTCTTGACGGGGTCATCTCCCATTTTCTAAGATACTTTGGAGGGTTCAGGTAGAACCAAACACCAGCTGTCTGAGACTGACGACTGGCGAGAAGACGAGCGCCTAAATATGACATCGTCCCATTTATTCGGCATATGGCATCTTTGCTTTCCGGGATCTCCCAGAATTTCATCGATCAGTATCTCTTCAAAGTCCAATCGTCAATCGTTGCGACCGTTTGATTCTGCCGTTCTTCGACTGTACGAATTGCAGATGTCTCCCAACATTTCTTCGGGGATGCTCAGGAGGTTTCGCAGCAGTCGAGGATAACATCGGATCCACTCAAGTGGTTCAAGAACCCTGGCAGTTAGCGGGTTGCCACCCTCTTTGCCTCCCCTTACTGAACAACCCAAGCTCCTTACAGGTTGTGACCTGCGGGATCTCCAAGCTGCCAATGTCTGGTGCTTGCACCAGACATTGAGAAACCGACCTTACCGGTCGACCTGGCTTGAAAAAGGTCGTTCTGGCAGATCCGGACACTCCGTTCATCGGCACCTCTTGGTGGACATGAGTCGTGCATGTTAATCAAAAGTTATCAAATACGATCCGTTTTCCATGTCCAGGTTGCACTTGTCCGTTCTTGAACACTCGATCCCATCTAAAGTCGACCCCATCTAGCAGGAAACGCCGGAGTGGGAGGCCAATTGGCTAAAAATGTGTCCCATCTACTTCCTCTAACTACTCGTTCGACCTAGCGGTTTGCTTAACACGGCAATTTGGTGGCGCCAAGGGCCAAGGTTTTGAAGAGTTCTGACAGAGATAACTATATCTGATAGGTATTGATAGGTATAAATAGATGACAACACATCTCACGTTTCCACCATATAAATCCCTTAGACTCCATTCAACAGACTGAGTTAACTAAATGCAATTGAGCACTGCGATGCAACTTTACCAACTAGGCGCCAGAATCATGGTGCTTTTCCGAACGTGAGTTGACCTTTTGAATTCAACCCATAAACACTCGAAACGTCACCGGAAACGGATCCGCGAACGTCGCCGGATCTCTGAACAATCTCCAAACGCCCCAAGATTCGGAGCATCAGCTCAATGTGCCGCGGAGAACCGAACCAACAAGCGCTGCTGCTTGGGAGAGAAAAGCACCGCACCTGCAAACCCTCGAACTGACTTAGGCGCGCGAAATGACTTACGTTTGCACGCCCTGTGAAAAAGTGAGTGAAGGGCACCATACGTTCGGAACAAACATCCATCGTCGACGATTCGGAACGCACCATCTCCTCCATTTTTGCTGTGCTTTTCACTCCTCCGGACGGATAAAGATCAGCGCCGCTTAAAACTGGAAAAAATGTGATGCGTCCAAAGCCTCGCGACCCGATCTACCTCATGATGTGATCAAATGTGATGAGTGTCTCGTGGATGGATCAAACGGTCATTCTGTGGGACCCCCCGCTTGGGTGGTAAGTCCTAGGCTGTCCATATCTAGCCTTGGCTAGATCGAAAGCTTCCCTTGAACGAGTGGATCTGAATGCGTTGTACCCAGGTGTTGAAATCAGCTGTGACAATATATGGTAGGTTGGTCATGGCACACATCCCATAAATGTCAACCAAGATTTAATCGTTCTTCTGTCTTGTATCAAGCATGTGTCCCGCAGCACAAGCAGGCAGTCCATACAAGAATATCAAAATATGTCCTATGGTGACTATCACCTGAGACACACGACAACTCCGGTACAGCCATTCTGGAATCATGGTGCGCGAAGTGCGACATGGAAATCTGATGAAATCTGGATATTCATGCTGTGCCCAGTGCCTCACCTCTTCTTGTGGCTTCTGCAAAAAGAGGATCCACGTTTGGTTTCATCGAACGTCAACCGGGCAACCCCAGAAGACTTGGTGTGGTGTCTTTTTGATCAAATCTTTAACAAAAAATCTTTGTGTCGCAATCGTTGCAAAAGTCTCTGACAAACAAATGACGTCCGCGTTAAGGTCAAGAATGTCTTGGCTTTCAGAGATGTAGAACGGCCAGGACAACGCACGGCCATTGTGGCCCGTTCCAGGGTTCTTTGCTTCTCCGATGCTCATAGATCTTCATATGAAGGGTCTAGCTAGTTCTAGCTCGTGAGTCAAGGTTGTATTGTCATATATGGATCTCATTAGTCAAGGTTCTAGCTCATTCTTTTGATGGGATCGGTCGCCTTTGGGCCGCTTGGTCGGGCCGGCCCGTCACTTGGCATGACATTGGGCATCGGGTGCGGTGCAGCTGAGCACCACGAAGCCTTCCATGCCCAGCTTGGCAATGCAATCCTGGCTCGGCACGGATGAAACCAAGGATGCACGAAAAACATCAACTGCAAGTTTGCAAGTGATCTAAGTATACTCAAATGATCTCAAATGCCTGGAACCACTTCTCAACCATCTTGTTGAAACACGGTGTGCAATGGTTGGTTGGGTAGTACATGAAAATCAATATGTATCTTCAAATCAAATCATCCAAGAAAGCCACCTGACAGGAACACCATGGGTTTGTTGAGCTGTCATTTCAGGACTTTCTTCAAAGGAAGGATGAAATGCCTTCGTCCCGTACCGAGGGGAATGGACCACAGAAGGACTCCAAACCTGTCAAAATACCAGTTGCAGTTGCTTCCAAACCGAAATCTGAACACGCGAACCCCCCCAAGCAAGCTCAGGAAGACACTTCCCCAACAAAAATTGATGTGACAAGCAAGTCTCCAGTTGGAGACATATCAGTTGTCACACTGATAAGAACAGATACTACACTTGATCATAGCCAAAAGGCCGAGAAGGTATGATTGTCCTAGCCTGCCTGGGAAAAACCAAGCCGTTCTCCATTCCCTCCTTGATCCCCCCGGGCTACATGAACCGTACGGTCCGAGCCACTAGGATGCACAGTAGTGCATCCTCGGTGCCTTTTGAGATGATCCTGAGCGAGGAAGCAAGGAAGCAAGCCAGGAAGGTCTGAAGAAATCAATTACCAAGCACCACCAAGCACCACCAAGCACCGGGATGTTCTGCTTATTTGGATCTTGGTATAATTAAGTCCTCACAACAGAAATACTTATATAATCTGAAAGAACTGGAACTGTGTTGAAAACAACGTGAAACATGGTCTTCTTGAACCCTGAAACACGTGCAGATGCACGAGGGGCAACTTCCAACCGCTGAACCCATCTTGGTTTCAAAAATGGACAGGCCATTAAGTCTATGCAGTTCCGTTGCTAGTGGTCCCGGACCTCAGCAAGAAAGTCCATGTGTGTGACGCTCATGGACTTTACAAGTCAAGGTTGGGGGTTGATAGATTGGCCTTCTTGCTTCGCACGAAGCTGGAGATCCAAACTCATTTTCTGTTGGCTTGGTGACGTCCCTCCAAGATTCCTCGAGTATGGCTGGTAACTTGAATGAAAGCATCGTGATGATCCATGCTTTAAAACCATATCATATATAGATAGACATGTGTTACATCAACCTCCTGCTGTTCGGGGTACAATCACCAGTCCGATGTGCACCGCCTGATGAGTTTCGCCTGACGTTTCGCCTTTATACGTCGGCCCTGCGGGGGCCGTCCGACCCGGCGCAAAGCGGGCGAAGCCCGCTCCGCGGATCGAACACACAGTTTTCACTAAAAGGTTCCACTTCCATGTTAGTCAGGAGGGATGATGGATCTGTGCCGCTTTACATCGCAAATGGATCTGTCCCGTTCTACATCGCTTTACTCCATTCTTGTCCAGCTCATGCTGCTCCTCGACCATGCTGCTCCCGGCAATTTTGGACGGCACAGTCGTGACCGTGGGTTGGCATCCAAGACTCCCAAAGTGGGCGCGACCCAACAACACGACGATGGGATACCAGGACCAAGAGATGATGGTCAGCCACTCGAGCCGGTCGAAGAGGGCCTAGCACCGGAAGGAGCTGGCACCCCACACGGCGGGAGCTGGCACCAGGATCATGGTGGTTTTGACCCATCCCCACATCATCCAACAGTGCAAGTCTTATATGATATCTGACTCCCAAACCGTTTCGTTGGAAAATGAAGAGATGCACCGGTTCGTGTTGGAGTGGGGCCACCATTCCCCATCGTTGGGCATCCACGGAACTCCTGGGTAGAGGAGCAGGTGTTGGGGTCCTTCCGGGCTGCGGAGAACAAAGGATCGTCCAAACCCAAGACAGTGGGTTGCGAAAGTTGGGAAAGTTGGGGAGGGTAGCCTCATCTACAGTGAAACGGAATCGCTCATCTACAGTGATTGCCTTGTGTCCAGGACCCATGGAATAGTAGCTACATATGTGACATACTATATATAGATATATATATATATATACATATGTTGTTTTTGCTCTATATATATATATATGTGTGTGTTTCATACTATAAATATACTACATATGCGGTATCTATATTACATTATACTTAGACTATATTATATTATACATTATTTTTATACTATTTTTTCATTCAAGGCTTTCAGAGGTCTAAGACCGCAAGCGTGAAAAACATGCATGAGTTCAATCCATCTCCGCAAGGTCATAGTGACCTCGCGCAAAGTCCGGCTGCATCTCACCAGTCTGGTCCGAGTAGACGGCCAACTTTGCAAACTCCTCAGCCACTATGGTCCGGGAGGCCACATCGTCAAACCAGCAAGCTCGTAAACGATCACGTATCGTCAACACATGACAGGCAGCAAATGCTCCATTCAACGCTGGTGGATACTCCTTCGCCGCAGAGGTTTTCCAAGCCCCTGTGGAGTCCTTTCCAGAGAGCACAATAAGCTGCTTCCAGTCAACATGTATTTGGTATGGCTTGCACAGCATGGTAAACCGAGGAATATGAGAAACCATCAAGTGGGTCGGCTTTGCGGCCGGCGACCCGAACTTGGCCTGCCAAACTAAATGCCGTTGAACATGAGCATGTTGAAGCATGGTTTGTACCCAAGGCAATCGCCAAATGGAAGCTCGGGACGAAATCTTGGGCTCACGCGGGTGCTCCAAAATACTCGGGATCCCTGCAAGGGTATAGCAGCCATAAACAGGCGCAGCGACACAAAAAGGAGATAACTAGAGATCCAGAGCTGTTGGAGCTCACTCTGCACCAAACCCTCCAAGCCAAAAGGATGCAAATGGTCTCGAAGTGGTCTGACTTCTCCTGGTAGATGTCTCGCTTCACTCCAAGTTTCGCAAGGAGGCGCTACCAGCAAGGCCACAACAGCACGTTGAGTGATCCACCGCAAAAGTTGGTGAACCAACTGTGGCTTGGTGACGTCGTGGGTGTCACTCAAAGCTAAATCCAACATCAACACATGGCCCTGAATATCATACTGGCCTAAAAGCTTTTCAACTTGGGATTGATAGTCCCCTGGTCGCCTTCTCCCAGAAAAAACATACAAAAAGATGCGAAAACTGAAAAAGGGTCGAGGCACAAACGGGGGCCAGGTCCACTTGGTCCTCCTTTCGAGTTGCACCAGACCAGCAAGACGTGCTGGCACCCAGGTGTCATCCCATAGATCGGACTCTGCAGTGGGCAGCTGAAAGTCTCCAGCACCATCTGGAGCCACGGGCCAGAGTTGAAGGGCCGGCATCAGTGCACGAAACGTATCATGCGACACATTCCATGGTGTGAGCGGTTGATGCAGCAAATCATTGTCCTGCCATAACAGAAACGCTTCGTGAAGACGCCGCTGCTGATCAATAATGAACCAATTGACAGCTGCATCCGTTGGAAGCAAATGGTCAATCAGCTGTTGAACGTATACTTCATGAAATGGCTTGGCGCTCAAAGCGTTTAACACTCCAGAGAAACCATCGGCCTCCAGCGAGTTTCGAATGGAAGCAATCCAAGGTGCCAAGTCTCCAGGCACCAAAGGTTCACATGGACGAGTATCACGTCCTGCCTGAGAGCATGCAACAGTCCATGGCCAAGCACGTAGCGGTCCAAATGCACGACTCGGTGGCCAACGATGGCGTCCACGCCGCAATTGGCGTTTGGTGGCAAGTCGAGAATTGGCAATGTCCTGGTGGACAGCATCGAGCTGAGCATTGTCTAAGGGCGGGACTAAGGTGATTAACTTAAGCAAACAGCCAGTACGAAAGTACTTGAGGTGATGCAACACAGAATCCCTGTGGTCATAAATGCGAAGGCAAGCGCGGCAGACATTCGAGCTGGTATAGCGCTGGGCCAAATTCACCGCTCGATGTTTCTGAAATGCGTGAGCACCCATGGCACGCAGGGACTCAAACGTCTTTCCACACTCAGGACATGCGAAGGTGTGGTCAAGGTGCATAGGTTCAGGAGGCTGGACCCGAACAACACCCAGCGCAGCAGCTTCATTGTTGAAGTCCTGAAGGAATTGACGAAAGCTTTTCCAAAGTTGCAAATAGCTCAAGTACTGACGCTGTGCCTGACGGTAAAGCTTAGTAAACACTCGAGGCGAACGCATGCTGTGGGCGGCAGCCTGCTGCATATCGGGGGAAAGCACGGCCTGTATGGTCGAATCAGGTTGCAGTCTGAGGAGACATTGAACATCGGCCTGAACACGAGGCAACCAACTGGCAGGACCGTGCAAGCTTTGGAGAACAGCAAACAACGCTTCCATGGTGTCAATTTGGCACAACCGATCAAAAAGGCTGAGTCGAGACTTCATGAGCAGCATCATGGGCGGAACATGGCCACAATCGGCCAATATGTCCAAAGTTCGAGTACCAGGCCCACGGCGCACTGTGGGAGGGCCAGCATACGCATCAGGCCACGGTGCCAGGAACGAAGGGTTTGGACATGCATCGACATCCAAGCTCCAGCCCCGTACATCAAACGACTGAGCACTAGGGACTGAAAAAGGTTGAACTTGGTCTTGGCAGGCATATATGGCGAACGAAACACATTGCGAGTCAGCATCTTCGTGGCAGGCAGTGCCAACATGAACCTACGATGGACCTCAGCGGCAGGATGTCCTTTGAGATCCTGAAGCGAACCCAGATAAATATAATCTGGGAGGACAACAACACGGGCTTGTTCAGGACAGACCATGCCCGGACATCGAAATGCAATCGAGGAGGCATGTGGTTCCGCAAGGATCGAATGCCATGTTTTATGTGCATTGGCTCCCCTCAGGGCAAGAACAACAGACGTCTTGTCAGGCTGAAGGTTCAGCTTGAGACCAAACTGGGCAGCTGTACGATAGGCAATTGCCACAAGATCAGAAGCGCTCTGCAACATGCGAGCCGGCTCGGGGTCTTCAGCTAACAACACCAAGTCATCGACCCAGGAGGCATGAGTGAGCTGAACGAAGCTGTCTGCTTCATGTGACAAATCAACACCAGGCACCCAATCAAGGCGAAGAACAGAGGCATGGCCTGCCTCAACGAGCCTAGAATGGAGCTCTTTAGTGAAGCGAACCATCAAAAAACCATACAGCAAATCTGCAAGCGAATCACCAGGGCGGTTGCCGGTGATGGTGGATGTAAGGCTAGACTCTTGATTCTTGAGCATGAACCAGGTGGTCGAGAGCACGGCTTGGAGCTGTGCCTGCTTGGATCGCCGGTTGGGCTTGTAAGTAGTTGAGCTGGTTGCTGTAC